GTGCCTGATTCGCTGGCAAATAACTTGTCTGCGGGGGTCACGGCACTCGTACCGCCGAAGGCTCATGGGTGCTGGTCATGGCGGTTTTGTGGTGGAGTGTAGGGCCCGTGCCCACCTGGCTGTTTAGCATGCCTGACCTAACTGTTTCATGATATTGTCTGTATTTTTGTTGTAGCAATTTTGCTATTATATGTTGGTCATGATTTGATGGTTGACTTGCCCGTTTTCTTTGTGTACCTTATCTGGTTTTCTCATGTCTGGGTTGTTGGATGAGTTGGGTAAACGGTGCTGCTTTGATTGTGTTTGCGGGTGCGGGTTTACTCTTTGTTTTGGTATTCGATAGTTGACTTGATTCTTTTATTTTATTTTCTTATTGGATTTTCCGATTTATTTGATTTGATTTTCCTATCTACGATATACTTGATTGGATTTGTCACCATTGCTTTCTTTGCTTCCGTTTTTTGAATTCTTCATTCCGGCACCCAGTTTGTTATCAAATAAAGTCAACGTTCTCAGTAGTAGTAGTAGTAGTAGTAGTAGTAGTAGTAGTAGTAGTAGTAGTAGTAGTAGTAGTAGTAGTAGTAGTAGTAGTAGTAGTAGTAGTAGTAGTAGTAGTAGTAGTAGTAGTAGTAGTAGTAGTAGTAGTAGTAGTAGTAGTAGTAGTAGTAGTAGTAGTAGTAGTAGTAGTAGTAGTAGTAGTAGTAGTAGTAGTAGTAGTAGTAGTAGTAGTAGTAGTAGTAGTAGTAGTAGTAGTAGTAGTAGTAGTAGTAGTAGTAGTAGTAGTAGTAGTAGTAGTAGTAGTAGTAGTAGTAGTAGTAGTAGTAGTAGTAGTAGTAGTAGTAGTAGTAGTAGTAGTAGTAGTAGTAGTAGTAGTAGTAGTAGTAGTAGTAGTAGTAGTAGTAGTAGTAGTAGTAGTAGTAGTAGTAGTAGTAGTAGTAGTAGTAGTAGTAGTAGTAGTAGTAGTAGTAGTAGTAGTAGTAGTAGTAGTAGTAGTAGTAGTAGTAGTAGTAGTAGTAGTAGTAGTAGTAGTAGTAGTAGTAGTAGTAGTAGTAGTAGTAGTAGTAGTAGTAGTAGTAGTAGTAGTAGTAGTAGTAGTAGTAGTAGTAGTAGTAGTAGTAGTAGTAGGAGGAGGAGGAGGAGGAGGAGGAGGAGTAGTAGTAGTAGTAGGAGGAGTAGGAGTAGTAGTAGGAGGAGTAGGAGTAGGAGTAGTAGTAGTAGTAGTAGTAGTAGTAGTAGTAGTAGTAGTAGTAGTAGTAGTAGTAGTAGTAGTAGTAGTAGTAGTAGTAGTAGTAGTAGTAGTAGTAGTAGTAGTAGTAGTAGTAGTAGTAGTAGTAGTAGTAGTAGTAGTAGTAGTAGTAGTAGTAGTAGTAGTAGTAGTAGTAGTAGTAGTAGTAGTAGTAGTAGTAGTAGTAGTAGTAGTAGTAGTAGTAGTAGTAGTAGTAGTAGTAGTAGTAGTAGTAGTAGTAGTAGTAGTAGTAGTAGTAGTAGTAGTAGTAGTAGTAGTAGTAGTAGTAGTAGTAGTAGTAGTAGTAGTAGTAGTAGTAGTAGTAGTAGTAGTAGTAGTAGTAGTAGTAGTAGTAGTAGTAGTAGTAGTAGTAGTAGTAGTAGTAGTAGTAGTAGTAGTAGTAGTAGTAGTAGTAGTAGTAGTAGTAGTAGTAGTAGTAGTAGTAGTAGTAGTAGTAGTAGTAGTAGTAGTAGTAGTAGTAGTAGTAGTAGTAGTAGTAGTAGTAGTAGTAGTAGTAGTAGTAGTAGTAGTAGTAGTAGTAGTAGTAGTAGTAGTAGTAGTAGTAGTAGTAGTAGTAGTAGTAGTAGTAGTAGTAGTAGTAGTAGTAGTAGTAGTAGTAGTAGTAGTAGTAGTAGTAGTAGTAGTAGTAGTAGTAGTAGTAGTAGTAGTAGTAGTAGTAGTAGTAGTAGTAGTAGTAGTAGTAGTAGTAGTAGTAGTAGTAGTAGTAGTAGTAGTAGTAGTAGTAGTAGTAGTAGTAGTAGTAGTAGTAGTAGTAGTAGTAGTAGTAGTAGTAGTAGTAGTAGTAGTAGTAGTAGTAGTAGTAGTAGTAGTAGTAGTAGTAGTAGTAGTAGTAGTAGTAGTAGTAGTAGTAGTAGTAGTAGTAGTAGTAGTAGTAGTAGTAGTAGTAGTAGTAGTAGTAGTAGTAGTAGTAGTAGTAGTAGTAGTAGTAGTAGTAGTAGTAGTAGTAGTAGTAGTAGTAGTAGTAGTAGTAGTAGTAGTAGTAGTAGTAGTAGTAGTAGTAGTAGTAGTAGTAGTAGTAGTAGTAGTAGTAGTAGTAGTAGTAGTAGTAGTAGTAGTAGTAGTAGTAGTAGTAGTAGTAGTAGTAGTAGTAGTAGTAGTAGTAGTAGTAGTAGTAGTAGTAGTAGTAGTAGTAGTAGTAGTAGTAGTAGTAGTAGTAGTAGTAGTAGTAGTAGTAGTAGTAGTAGTAGTAGTAGTAGTAGTAGTAGTAGTAGTAGTAGTAGTAGTAGTAGTAGTAGGAGGAGGAGGAGGAGGAGGAGGAGTAGTAGTAGTAGTAGGAGGAGTAGGAGTAGTAGTAGGAGGAGTAGGAGTAGGAGTAGTAGTAGTAGTAGTAGTAGTAGTAGTAGTAGTAGTAGTAGTAGTAGTAGTAGTAGTAGTAGTAGTAGTAGTAGTAGTAGTAGTAGTAGTAGTAGTAGTAGTAGTAGTAGTAGTAGTAGTAGTAGTAGTAGTAGTAGTAGTAGTAGTAGTAGTAGTAGTAGTAGTAGTAGTAGTAGTAGTAGTAGTAGTAGTAGTAGTAGTAGTAGTAGTAGTAGTAGTAGTAGTAGTAGTAGTAGTAGTAGTAGTAGTAGTAGTAGTAGTAGTAGTAGTAGTAGTAGTAGTAGTAGTAGTAGTAGTAGTAGTAGTAGTAGTAGTAGTAGTAGTAGTAGTAGTAGTAGTAGTAGTAGTAGTAGTAGTAGTAGTAGTAGTAGTAGTAGTAGTAGTAGTAGTAGTAGTAGTAGTAGTAGTAGTAGTAGTAGTAGTAGTAGTAGTAGTAGTAGTAGTAGTAGTAGTAGTAGTAGTAGTAGTAGTAGTAGTAGTAGTAGTAGTAGTAGTAGTAGTAGTAGTAGTAGTAGTAGTAGTAGTAGTAGTAGTAGTAGTAGTAGTAGTAGTAGTAGTAGTAGTAGTAGTAGTAGTAGTAGTAGTAGTAGTAGTAGTAGTAGTAGTAGTAGTAGTAGTAGTAGTAGTAGTAGTAGTAGTAGTAGTAGTAGTAGTAGTAGTAGTAGTAGTAGTAGTAGTAGTAGTAGTAGTAGTAGTAGTAGTAGTAGTAGTAGTAGTAGTAGTAGTAGTAGTAGTAGTAGTAGTAGTAGTAGTAGTAGTGAATGCCGATGCATCCAGGCGCATCTTCCGGCACACCATACCCGGAACGTCGACCAGTCAGGCCAAATTGACGACACCTTGTTTTCAAAACTCGTATGTTCTGGGAAAACGCAGTCAGCCATTCGGATGGTTTGCTCCAGTGGCTCGGGTGGAGTGTTGTCAATGAGCGACACTGTCAGCGGCAGCCCAGGTTCAACAGTACGTGACATTCTGCTTGATAAGCATCCCCAGCCTGCTGTACCTCCGGATGACGCTCTCTTGCAGGGGCATGACGCGGCTACCCCTCAAGATCCGATCCTTTTTGCCAGGCTCACAGGAGCGCTGATCAAGCAGATAAGTCGTCAAATGTCCGGAGCGGCCGGTCCATCGGGCCTGGACTCTGATGCGTGGAAACGCATGTTGACCTGCTTCGCTGCAGCGTCTGACCAGCTCTGTGCGGCAATGGCAGAAGCAGGAAAACGCTTATGCACCCAGGAAGTCCCACCAGAAGAGCTAAGTTCGTTCACTGCGGCCCGCCTCATCCCACTGGACAAGCAACCGGGGGTGCGCCCTATCGCTGTTGGGGAGGTTTTCCGGAGACTAATAGGCAAAGCTGTGATGAAGATAATTCAGTATGACGCCATGCACGCCACAGCCCCTCGTCAACTCTGTGTTGGTGTTCCGTCTGGGTGTGAAGCTGCCGTGCATACGATGACCGACATGCTTGTCTCGCCGGAGTTGGAGGGTGTGCTCTTGGTCGATGCCACCAACGCTTTCAACGCTATGAACCGCACAGCAGCCCTACACAACGTGCCACTCGTCTGCCCTGCCCTGGGGCAGGTGTTCAAGAACACCTACAGCAGTCCATGCCGCCTGTTTGTGTCGGGTGGTGGAGAGATAAGGAGTCAGGAGGGTACCTGCCAAGGTGATCCCCTCGCCATGGCGATATACGCGGTCGCCATGATGCCATTGATAGACAAGCTGTCAGAGTGCTGCCCCGACGTGGTGCAGCTATGGTATGCTGATGACGATGCTGGTGGTGGACAGCTCCTCAATCTAAGGCAGTACTGGGATGGGATTCTGGAGAATGGCCCTGGGTATGGGTACTACCCTAACGCGAACAAGACAACACTAATTGTCAAGGAGCAGCATTCGGCCCTGGCACTCCAGCTTTTCAGGGACACGGGCATTCGTGTTGTGACCGAGGGTGCTCGTTATCTTGGCGGCGCACTCGGTACAACGGTCTTCTGTGAGGAGTATATCACAGATTTGATCGACAAGTGGACGCTGCAGGTTGATCGCCTGGCGGAGGTGGCCACCACTCAGCCACATGCTGCGTACGAGGTGTTTGTAAAGGGCCTCGTGTCCAAGTGGCGGTACCACTTGCGCGTCCTATCTTGCCCTGCGCATCTTCTGGCCCGTCTCGACGCCGCCATTACGGACAAGCTGCTGCCAGCGCTCAGCGGCCATTCGTGTTCGGACGAGTCGGCACTGAGAAAGTTGCTATCGCTACCAGCGCGGTTTGGTGGCATGGCAATCCCTGTGCCCTCGGTGGAGGCCGAGAAAGAGTTTTCTGCATCCAGACAGATTGTGGCTCCTGTGGCGGCCTGCATAAGACCACCAGAACATCCAACCAGCACCAACGAAACTACTCAAACAGACCAGCTGAACGAGGCAATAGCCCTCAGCCGGCAGGAGGCCGGGCGTATTCGAAGAGAGAAAGCTGCCCAAGCCACGGGTCTCGTTAGCGAATTGCGCCCGGATTTGACAGCAACACAGGCGCTGTTGGTGGAGAATGCCGCGGAAAAGGGCGTATCATCTTGGGTAACGGCGGAACCATCGTCCCAAATGCAGATGGTGCTGAACAAATCGGATTTCCGAGATGCGTTCTGCATCCGCTACGGCCTGCAGCCTGACGGACTCCCCCTGACTTGTGTATGTGGTGCTGCAAACACAATAGACCATGCGATGATGTGTCCGGCAGGGGGCTACCCCATGGCACGCCACAATGAGATCCGGGACTTGTTGGCTGACGTGATGCGTGAGGCGGTCCGGGATGTGGAGGTAGAACCGCCTCTACTACCATATGATGGTGAGCGGCTCCAAGGGAGGACAGCCAACCGCTTGGCAGGTGCCCGCCTGGACATCCGGGCTTGTGGCTTCTGGACGAGACAGCAAGATGCCTTTTTCGACATCCGGGTTACACACCCAAAGGCAAGCTTGCTGTCGCGTCAGGAAGTCATCAGCCAGCTCCGAACGCATGAACGGATGAAGAAGCGCCAGTACGGAGAGCGGGTGACAGCAGTTGACAGAGGTACGTTTACACCGCTAGTTTTTTCTACCTCGGGCATGATTGGCAGAGAATGTTCAATGGCACTGAAGACACTGGCATGCCTGATTGCTGAGAAGAACGTCGACCTACACGTATCGGTTATCATGGGTCAGCTCCGTTGTAAGCTGTCAGTCTGCCTTATGCGATGGGCAGTCACCTGTTTGCGTGGTTCAAGATCGTCATACCGCCGCAACAGGATGAATTTCACGACGATGTGCAGGTTGCGGGCAGCCTGAGCGTGATAGTACCTGACAGACATTTGCCCACCATTGCCCCATGATAATGAATTCTTGAGTTTTTGGACATTGTATTGCATTGCTGCTCCATCTACATGGCTGTATTTGTGTTTCACATCTCCATTTCAAGTTTCCTAATAAAGATTGTGTCAAGTAGTAGTAGTAGTAGTAGTAGTAGTAGTAGTAGTAGTAGTAGTAGTAGTAGTAGTAGTAGTAGTAGTAGTAGTAGTAGTAGTAGTAGTAGTAGTAGTAGTAGTAGTAGTAGTAGTAGTAGTAGTAGTAGTAGTAGTAGTAGTAGTAGTAGTAGTAGTAGTAGTAGTAGTAGTAGTAGTAGTAGTAGTAGTAGTAGTAGTAGTAGTAGTAGTAGTAGTAGTAGTAGTAGTAGTAGTAGTAGTAGTAGTAGTAGTAGTAGTAGTAGTAGTAGTAGTAGTAGTAGTAGTAGTAGTAGTAGTAGTAGTAGTAGTAGTAGTAGTAGTAGTAGTCATACCGCCATACCGCCGCCATACCGCCATACCGCCGCAACAGGATGAATTTCACGACGATGTGCAGGTTGCGGGCAGCCTGAGCGTGATAGTACCTGACAGACATTTGCCCAACATTGCCCCATGATATTGAATTCTTGAGTTTTTGGACATTGTATTGCATTGCTGCTCCATCTACATGGCTGTATTTGTGTTTCACATCTCCATTTCAAGTTTCCTAATAAAGATTGTGTCAAGTAGTAGTAGTAGTAGTAGTAGTAGTAGTAGTAGTAGTAGTAGTAGTAGTAGTAGTAGTAGTAGTAGTAGTAGTAGTAGTAGTAGTAGTAGTAGTAGTAGTAGTAGTAGTAGTAGTAGTAGTAGTAGTAGTAGTAGTAGTAGTAGTAGTAGTAGTAGTAGTAGTAGTAGTAGTAGTAGTAGTAGTAGTAGTAGTAGTAGTAGTAGTAGTAGTAGTAGTAGTAGTAGTAGTAGTAGTAGTAGTAGTAGTAGTAGTAGTAGTAGTAGTAGTGTGTGTAGTGGGTGTCATAATCACTGGTGAGGGGTCCAAGTACCTGGGTGCACCGATCGGGACACCTGAGTACTGTAGTCAACACCTGGCTGCGGAGGTCGGTCGCTTTTCCCGCCAGGTCCGCCGGTGTGGTGATTTTGCGGAGACCCAGCCACATGCTGCGTATACAGCCGCAGTGAGAGGGCTGGTCCCCAAGTGGAGATATCTCATGCGTGCTTCGCTCTGCTCCGGCGAAACCATGGCGCCTCTCGACAGTGCAGTGGATAATCATCTTTTGCCTCCGCTGTTGGGTCAGCCAATTGCCTCCGGGAGCGCCTTGCGCAGATTGATGTCGGCACCTTCCAAGTGTGGCGGCATAGCCATCCCGATGTTTGCGGACACTGCCACGGTAATGTACACTGATACAGTTAAGACGACTCGGCCAGTGCGGGGGCTATACAGGTTCCCGGACGTGCCTGAGACTGGTCGTGTGGGATCAGCTGCTGATGGCGGGGCGGATGGTGGTGGTTCGTCTGGCCTACGGGAGATGGCGGAGGCGCTCCAGGAGGCGGAAGGCGCACGGCGGGCTGCTGTACAATCAAGGCGTCGGGCTGGCAAAGCATCTTTGGCCGGTCTGCAGGATCATCTATCCGCCACACAGCAGCTTT